ACATTAACCAGTACAACTGACTTCCAATCAGTTAGATTTGGTATAAACCTAAAAAAGAGCAAGTAACCTAATTATCATATTAACCTTGAACTCACTCTTAGCAACCCTTTTAATCACCATGGCATTCTGAATCCCACAAATCAACATCTACAATGAAAAATCGAATCCTTACGAGTGCGGATTCGACCCCATAGGCTCGGCATGACTTCCATTCTCAGTAAAATTCTTAATTACAATTACCTTTCTCTCGTTTGACCTTTAAATTGCTCTATTAGTTCCTCTTCCCTGAGCACTACAAACAAATAACCTCTATCTAGTTATCCTTATAGCACTAGCCCTAATTATTATTCTGACATTAGGACTAGTTTATGAATGATCTCAAAAAAGATTAGAATGAAATGAATATAGTACTTAGTTTAACACAAAACAAGTGATTTTGACTCATTTGACTATGAACTATTCATAAGTACCAAAGTGTCCCCCATCCTAATTAACCTCTTCTTAGCTTTCTTAGTCTCCCTACTAGGAGCTCTAATCTATCCATCACACCTAATATCCTCTTTCCTATGCCCAGAAGGTATAATACTATCAATTTTTATTACCGCAACCCTAATTACCCTGAACTTTAGTATTACTTTATATTACTTATATTTCTTCTATTATATTACTTATACTACTTATATTTCTCATTATTATTTTAGTCTTCACAGCCTGCGAAGCTGCCGCAGGACTAGCTCTACTAATCATAGTATCAAATTCATATGGGACTATGTACAAAACCTAAATCTCTTATAATGCTAAAAGTTATCATACCAACAATTATACTTATCCACATAACATGATATTCAAAAAGCAATATAATCTGAATTACTCCACAACCTATAGCCTACTAATTAGTATACTATGCTTATTTATCCTAAACCAATCAAACGAAAATAGCCTTAATTTCTCACTACTATTCTCCTCAGACTCCCTCTCTACTCCTCTTAATCCTAACAGCCTGACTACTACCACTAATAATTATAGCTAGCCAACAGCACATGAATAAAGTCTGTAGCGTGAAAAGATATATATTACCATGTTAGTATTACTTCAAGTTCTATTAATCATAACATTCACATCTACAGAACTAATTCTATTTTATATTCTATTTGAAGCAACACTTATCCCCACACTAATTATTATTACACGATGAGGCAACCACCCAGGCCTATACTTCTTATTTTACACATTAATTGGATCACTACCACTTCTAGTTGCATTAATTTACTTACAAAACTTACTGGGATCTCTAAACCTTCTCATTCTCAACAACTACTCAGAGCAACTAAACCTATCCTGGTCAAATGATCTACTGTGGCTAGCATGTATAATAGCATTTATAGTTAAAATACCATTATATGGACTACACCTATGACTACCTAAAGCCCATGTAGAGGCACCAATCACCGGCTCCATGGTCCTAGCATCCATTCTGTTCAAGCTCGGTGGGTATGTCATAATACGAGTTACCATCCTCCTATCACAAACCATATAATATACCCATTTATACTGCTCTCATTATGAGGAATAGTAATGACTAGCTCAATCTGCTTGTGACAAAAAGACTTAAAATCCCTAATTGCATATTCATCAGTCAGTCACACAGCGCTGGTAATTGTCACTATCCTAATCCAATCCCCATGAAGCTCTATAGGAGCCACAGCATTAATAATAGCCCTTGGCCTGACCTCGTCCATTTTACTCTGCCTAGCAAACACTAACTATGAATGAGTCATAGCCCAACTGTACTCTTAGCTCAAGGCTTACAAACAATACTCCCATTGATAGCCCTATGGTGACTTATAGCAAGTAATCTTGCACTACCCCCTACAATCAAATTGGGGAGCTAATAATCATTACCTCCTCATTCTCATGATCAAATTTCACCATTCTTCTTATAGGGGCCAATACACTCATTACAGCCCTATACACTCTATATATACTAACCACAACCCAACAAGGCAAAACTACATATCACATAAATAGTATCCACCCATCATTCACACGAGAAAATTCCCTTGTCTTCCTTCACCTACTCCCACTACTCCTATCTTTAAACCCCAAAATTATCCTTGGTACAGTATTCTGTAAATATAGTTTAACAAAAACATTAGATTGTGAATCTAGAGTCAGAAAATAAAATTTTCTTATTTACGAAGAAAGTATGCAAGAACTGCTAACTCATAATACCATACTTGTATGTCTTTCTCTTCATAAGATATTAGTAAAATAATTATATAACTTTGTTAAAGATAAATTACAGGTTAACCCCCGTATATCTTTATGGCTCACCCCCAATTAGGCCTACAAGATGCAACATCACCTATCATAGAAGAGCTACTAAATTTTCATGACCATACACTAATAATTGTTTACCTTATCAGCTCCCTAGTACTGTATATCATCTCGCTTATGCTTTCCACTAAATTAACACACACTAACACAATAGATGCTCAAGAAGTAGAGACTATTTGAACAATCCTTCCAGCTATTTTCCTTATTATAATTGCACTTCCATCCCTACAAATTCTATACATAATAGATGAAATTAATAACCCAGTACTGACAGTAAAAACCATAGGACATCAATGATACTGAAGCTATGAATACGCTGACTATGAAGATCTAACATTTGACTCCTACATAATTCCAACATCAGAGCTAAAACCCGGAGAACTTCGACTTCTTGAAGTCGATAATCGAGTTGTATTGCCCATAGAAGTACCCATCCAAATATTAATCTCATCTGAAGATGTGTTACACTCATGAGCTATCCCATCCTTAGGCCTAAAAAGGTATTCTGGGTGTCTGCGTTTCAAAGTGACCTCCTGATGAATGAGGACATTATCATATCTTAACTTGTGCTTGCTTTTTATCCATGAACTAATCATGAGACTAATTTAATCTTTTCAAACATGAGAACTGCCTTTGTAGTTCTTTTGGGTGCCACCAGGTTTTTTCATAAGCTTGCTTAACAGGGAAAGGACTATGCTTGCTTGTCTATTTTTTTTTAATTGTTTTATTATTCATATGTGCATACAAGGCTTGGGTCATTTCTCCCCCCTGCCCCCACCCCCTCCCTTACCCCCCCGCCCCGACTCCCTCAATACCCAGCAGAAACTATTTTGCCCTTATCTCTAATTTTGTTGAAGACAGAGTATAAGCAATAATAGGAAGGAACAAGTGTTTTTGATGGTTGACCTTTTCTCTAGTTCCTGGTCCCCTTCTCCTATTGGCCTCAGTTGCTTTTAAGGTATCTGCTTTAGTTTCTCTGCGTTGAGGGCAACAAATGCTAGCTAATTTTTTAGGTGTCTTACCTATCCTCACCCCTCCCTTGTGTGCTCTCGCTTTTATCATGTGCTCAAAGTCCAATCCCCTTGTTGTGTTTGCCCTTGATCTAATATCTGCATATGAGGGAGAACATATGATTTTTGGTCTTTTGGGCCAGGCTAATCTCACTCAGAATGATGTTCTCCAATTCCATCCATTTACCAGCGAATGATAACATTTCGTTCTTCTTCATGGCTGCATAAAATTCCATTGTGTATAGATACCACATTTTCTTGATCCATTCATCAGTGGTGGGGCATCTTGGCTGTTTCCATAACTTGGCTGTTGTGAATAGTGCCACAATAAACGTGGGTGTGCAGGTGCCTCTGGAGTAACCTGTGTCACAATCTTTTGGGTATATCCCCAAGAGTGGTATTGCTGGATCAAATGGTAGATCAATGTTTAGCTTTTTAAGTAGCCTCCAAATTTTTTTCCAGAGTGGTTGTACTAGTTTACATTCCACCAACAGTGTAAGAGGGTTCCTTTTTCCCTGCATCCTCGCCAACACCTGTTGTTGGTGGTGTTGCTAATGATGGCTATTCTAACAGGGGTGAGGTGGAATCTTAGTGTGGTTTTAATTTGCATTTCCTTTATTGCTAGAGATGGTGAGCATTTTTTCATGTGTTTTTTGGCCATTTGAATTTTTTCTTTTGAGAAAGTTCTGTTTAGTTCACTTGCCCATTTCTTTATTGGTTCATTAGTTTTTTGCTTGTCTATTTTTAATAGCAGTATCCTTTAATGCCTTATTGAAAAGTACTCAACAAAAAGTTAAAGGTAGCCCAAACTGATATTAGCTTAATAATAATACACAGAAAATTTAAAAAATGAAAATCTAAGGAATACACTTTGGAAATGTAGGTGCTTTATAGAACTAGATTCTCATTCATTCATTCTCATATTCTCTTCTCTCTCTCTCTCTCTCCTGGTTTGAGAAAGGCTCTTTATTGCTGACTCTCAATCTACAGCTGCATCCTTCCAGGTCACTGTAGTGACCAGGTAGCAAAATCTCTGGTTCCTCTGTTCTAAGGCAGAATTTTTTTTTTTTAAGGCAAACTTTTAAATCCTGGAGAGTATTAACAAGTTTTCTTACTCAGATTTTTTTTTTCTTGGTGAGATGGCAAGCTGCTGAGCATAGCTAATCTACTGAGATTCTATTTCCTACCTTAATGGAGAAACTTCCATTCTTATAACTGCAAGAGTAAGAGAGAAAGATGAGTTGTATTATTTTTTTCCTCAGGAAAGGATACAACTTTTTCCCAAACTGGAGTATTCTCTCCAACACTGCACTATCCTGTTCTTCTATTTTTCTTTCTGTGAAGAAAACAACTCTAAATCTCTCTCTAGTTCCGTTGATCAATAGCTAAGTAAGTGTGAAGTAAAACTTGCATGATATTATTTCCAGATGCCTCTATTCTCCCAAAGAAAATGCTTTCTTCTTTAAAAGAACCATACGCTGCTGTATAGTTAAAAATCCAAATCTACCAGAATGTAAAATCTAGAAACAGAAGACAGCAGGACTTTTACAGAGATATAAGGTGTTTTTTTTCCCAAATGGCTTTACTATTGTACTGTTTGGTATTTATGGAAATTTGATGTCAAGACAGTAAAATCATTTTAAACCAACTTACCAATGGCTTTTGTGTAGTGCCTTGCACCAAGCAAAAGTTCTGGTGCCCGATACCAGAATGTCACAACTACTGGGTCCAGATCTGCTAGTGGCTTTAGGGGAGAATTGAATAATCTGGCAAAACCCATGTCAGCTAAAAATAAAATAAAATAAAATTCATTTTGACATGCTGTTAGAATCATGCAAGGTTGAAAACAATAGCCCCTAATCTTATAAGCAATACTTTCCCTCTGAAAAACACCAGAGGTCTATACCACACTCTGGATAGGAATTACTTCATTTAGCTTTAGTATCTCCCCCTAATGTAGGGATTACTATTGTGTCTATAATTACCAACGAAGAAACTGAGGCTTAATGATAGTCTGTCTTGCCCAAATTCAGAGCTATTAAGTTTAGATTCTGGGTCAGAATTAGAATCCAGGTCTGACTTCAGATTCCTGTCTTAGAGAGACAATTAAAATATTCTTAAACATCTAAAAAATCTAAAAATAGCCTTACTTATGATTTCTGTAAACCTATGCATCTAAGAACTGACTACATCTTACATATGTCAATATGTACTAGTGTCAGTTCCTGCAAACTCACAAGAGCTGACTTGTACATATCTCTTCCCAATTCTACATTTGCTGAGAGCAGATTGGTGACTTAGAATTGGCTATGGTTAGAGTATTTACAGCATGTAAAACAGAAAATGTCACAAATTGGGACTTTCCCTCCACCCAGAAAGTCAGTTGTTAAAGAGTAACCAGTGCATCACTCACATGATATTCTATGTTTCTAAAAACATGCACAGAAAAAACAGAGATAATTTGTTATAATTCAGCATTTAACAAAGGTTACACCAAACCTAAATGATTTAAATATTACGAATTTACAAAACTAGTAACAGAATATTTGTAAGTATAATGAGGTCCTAAGGAGCAATTTTCTTGAGATTTCATAAATAAAAAATACCTTATCTAGTTAATTTATAATGTCTTTTATGTACCATATATCACCCCATTTAATCTTCCTAAGAACACTAGTAAGTATTTTTGCTCCCCACTTTTGAGTGAAGGATCTAACAAAGTGATTCACTGACTTGTTCAGGTTCACAGGAATAGTAAGAGATCAGTACTCAAATAAAAATCATGTTGTAATTTGGTACCTACATTCTTAACTGCTGATCTGACATCCAATAAATTATACATATGAAAATCACAAGCCACAAAAGTGATGCCACAAGAATGATAAACTTCTGTAATTTGAAATACATAATATACACAGTATATTTTGAATATGTAAGGGACTTTTATGTACTATAAAATGCATAAATGCACATAAAAGTTTCAAGTGTGGACTATCATTTAATCTAAAACTAATCTGCTATGATATAATATGCATTAAAGTTTTAATTTGCTATGATTTTGTTTCTTTAGAGCTTGAATAATTTACAAGAATTTCTGAGAATGCTTTGGAATATTTAGGTCTTAAAAAAACAAAGCTACCCAAGGAAGGCTATGCGCTGATGCCTACTCTTCTTAAACAAAATTTCCCTGTAGCAAACAAAAATATTCAATCATTTTATCAGTATTTCACCTATTATTCTACAATATTATTCAACATTCAAAGTGCTACTTTGTATATTTAATAGATGCTAATTGCTATTGATGGCAAAGAATACCATCAAGCAGATGGAAATGATTAACAAGATTAAGTCATCAGATGCATATTCTTGTTGATGGCAAAGTATGATGAAAGGCTGTTTCATCCACTGGAAAGCATTTTAAAAAGTAGAAGCAAAAGCTAGTATTTTTCCTCTTATTCTCTATCTCCTTAGTTTTATGTAAACACATTTATTCATTGTCGAAATCAAGGTCAAAAGGAAATAAAAAGTGGTCTTAAAAAACCATTCCTGTCTATTGTATGAACATTAAAGGAGCTTCAAACCACTTTTCAAATAATTACTAATTTAAACAAAAGTTAACTGACCTAAACAATCATTTTAAATAGTTGGTTTTGTAAGATTAGAAATTAGTGGAATTGTTCAAATCAACAAATAGGGATAGCAGAATTCTGGTGTGGGTGCTGATTAGGCATTATCAAATATCAGAAAAGTAGCAACATACAAGATCTACCATCGAACAAACAAACATGACAGAATACTTGGAGTACATAAAAGGAACAAATGGGTAAGTACTGTGAGAATTAAGGGAGTTGCTACTGTTTTCTACTAGCTGCTAAGTCCCTTGCGAGAAGGATCTGTCTCTTTCAACCTTCAAGGGATTATCTGGAACCATGTTTGATAAGCACTTGTAGAAGTGGACTAAATTGAGCTGGATCCTAAAGGACAAAGTTTTTTAAACAATAAAAAGGCAATCAGTATTTTAACTACTGCCTGAGAAGTCTTTAGATTGCTGGGGAGGGAAGGGGATCAGACACAGGAAAGGACACAATGTGTTTTCCTTTCAACTATGGCATCTAAACAGAACTACAGTAAAGCATTCAGCATAGGTATCAACATTAGGGATTTTTTTTTCCCCATTGCTTGGGACTGAACCCATGCCCTCATGCATACTAGGTAAACACTCTACCACTGAGCTATGCCACGGTCCCCATATTAACTGTTTAAAAAATCATTAATGCCAGGGATGAGGATATGGCTCAATGGCAGAGCACTTATTTTGCAGGTATGAGGCACCAGGTCAATCACTAGCACCACAAAAAACAGCGGTAATAAAAACAAAATAAAAATAATGTGCTACTAAGACAAAAATTATAAGCAACTGAATCAACTAGACTGATTGCTCATTAGACCTTTATTATTAATCACTGCTTATTATAACCCTGATTAATCTTGGATAGGATTACAATCTTAAAACTTAACAGTAAGGTAACTAACTGGCCTGACAGAATTTTATGTTGAAGAATTTTCTCCTTACTAGGAGAAAATATTAGATTTGGGTGACTGGGATAAATATAGTGAATGTTATAAATAAAAGGGAATAAAAGAAGAGAATGATGAATTTGGTTTGGAACAATGGAGTATAGGTTGCCTGGAGGACATCCAAACAGAGATAAAGTCTTCAGCTGGAGAAAGAATAGAATCTAAGATCTAGATTTTAAGAGTAATTTTCATAGAATCCAAGACTTTGAGGACACAACTTATCAAAAGTAATTGCAGAGGGAGGCCAAGTCCCAAACCTGTGCTCACACAATAGTTAACAGGAGTAAAAGGCAATAATGAATAAAATGCAGAAGTAACAGCAAAAGTGGTAGGTAGAAAAGCAGAATTATATTATGCTATATAGACAAACTCAAAGCCAAACTGGTCAGAAGAACAAATGGCTTATTGCAGTAAAGGAGAATAGTGACTGATACAAGGCCACTAGATTTGGTAAGATAGAGGTCACAGGTGTCCTTTCAGAGAGCAGTTTTGAGAGCAAGATAGAATTAGAGGACAAATTATAACAAATTGGGTAAGTAGAATAAAAGGGTGAACATCAAGGATGTTCCAAAAGTAATGGAACAAGTGGTGGGGGGAAAGGACAAATGCTAAAAAAACCAAGATGGAGATAAGATTTATTTTAGGATTGGGAAGAGGACAATGAATGTTTAAAGGAAAGAGGAGAAACGAGAAGGGGAAAATGGCAATGTTGTAGTAGGAAAGAAGGTATTTAGAAGCTAGAAAGGGCACTAGAAACTTAGAAAGGGGAGAATCAATCATTCCTTCTCTGGGGCTGTTTCAAAGGCAGAGCTGGTTGACAAAGGTGGAGGTCAGGAGTTTCACACCAGAGAGTCACATTGGTAGCAAAAAAGTCTCAGGACCAGGAATCTAAGTCCTGACTTTGAGAGACTCAGCAAGCAACAACTTCTCTAAATCCAGCCTTCCTATCTGTGATATCTACCTTTAGAAGGTGGTTGTGCAAAAGACATGAGGTAACATATGAAAGCACCTACCATACTGTACAGTAAACCATTTATTTTACTGTCTCTCACAAGGAGGGACTATCCTTTATCTTCCTTTCACCTGTGCCTGGCAAAAAGTAGGTAATCAATAAATGTATGTAAGAAAAAGACAGTGTAAAGTAAAAACAGAAACAAATGAAGAGTGGTAGAAAGGCAAGGGGAGAGGAGAGCAGCTACCAGGCACTTAATTAACATCAACACATTTTTTAATGAAGCTAAGTCCCAGCAAACTCAAAGCAGAGGTTTAAAGAAAAGAAAGCTGGTTTAGAACAGCTACTTCAGGAACTGAGCAAGGAAAGTAGAAACCCAAACAGCAGGAAACGCTCAGTTGAAGTAGGAAAGCATGAATTTGTAACAGGTCAAATTAGCACAATTTGTATCATCTTTACTATAGTATATTCTAATAGCAAAGAAAGGCTGATGAAACAAAATTTATATTCAAATCCCTCCTCCGTGCCTTAATCTGAAACAGGCAATAAGTGGACAGGCTTAAGCATATATTATTTCTTTGAAAAGTAGCAAAGAAAGAGCTGGATGAAACCCAAAATTTATCTTCAAATCCCTCCTGCCAGTGCCCTTAATCTGAAACAGGCAATAAGTGGGACAGGCTCTAGTAGCATATATGTATTTCTTTGGAAAAGTTGTGTTAGCACCTGATGATTAGGGGATTTGCTATATTGGTAAAGCTAAGAAAAAGTGTGTTTAGGGATTTGCTTAAGGACCATGCAGAAAAGTGGTGGTGACAGAAACACAGCTTAGGATATTATGGTAGTGAATATTTTTGTGGACTTGCTGGTCAATTCTCAGTGATGCCTCAACTTAGAATTATAGGTACTTATTTTGGGAAAAAACTCACTACCTACATTTTCCAACATCTTTTCTAAAAATATTATGAGGAAGTAGTTTTAAAATTAACTACTTAAATAAGAGTATTAAAAAGGGAAACCATCTTTGCAATTGCTTCAGTTTCTTAATAAGTTATTTCAGGAATAATTACCTACCTATTTTGACTCTCCCCCTCTCAGGACCTTCTCCCATTACTAGGATATTTGCTGGTTTCTAGAAATAAAAATAGAGCACTCAAATTACTGTTTATTCTTTTGACATGCTCTAAAATGAAAAAAACTTCTTATAATATGAAAATATTATTTCTGTATTTTCATCAAAACTAATCTAATCAAATATTAAGCACCCTCTATATAGTTAAAGCATTTGACATGAAATTAGCACTAAATTTTATGTAAACATTCTTGCCATGGAAACGTACCTTATTTTCAAAATTGTATCATACAACTAGTTACCAAATAATTAAAGCTATCATTTCTATTCACCCCATGGAAAAAAACTAGGAATAATTTAAAAACCTGCACAAATTTTATGAACTGCTTTCTTCCCACAACAAAGAGTTTATGTGAAATTTTTACATAAAAATTTCAAGCCACAAACCACAACATAATTGCCTTCACTTAAGTAATCAAGTGGAATATTCCTTACTAAATATTTCTAAACTACCACAGAAAACATGATTAACATTAGCTCAACAGACTCCACTAAAATTTGTATGTCAGCTACAGTACATGAAAAAGTAAGAAACTCCAAATATAATTTCAAGATGTAGGAAAATAAAAGGGAAAGCTAATACAGAGTTACATAAAGAACAGGAGTAGGCTGTAAATGTACCTATCATCTTTTAAGTCATCTTCAACTGTAGACGTTTGGAATTAAAAACTATAGCAATAGGCTTAGAGGCGGGGAGAGGCAAGTTTTTATAAATGCTTTGGAGAGAAAATTCATGTGTTTTTTAACTTACTGGATTCATTTATTAAATCAATGAAAATATTTCAGTGTCTCCTAGGGGAGCAAAGAACCATACTAAGCATTAAACGGTAAAACAAAAACATAGTAAACCAAGCTCCTAACCTCCAGCTACTCACTAAATAGAAGTTTGTATAATGTTAGAAGCTATATATGGGTTATAGAGACACCTGAAGTCTTCAGTTTTCTGAAATACTTTTAAGAACCCTTCTAATTTTCTGATATTTAAAAACACTTCAGTGAAAACAATAAACAGTAAAACAAAACAGTTCAAAGGAGGAAGTGATTACTACATTTTGTTATTAAGAAATGTTCAGCCAGGCACAGTGGTTCATGACTACAATGCTAGCTACTCGGAAGTAGAGCAATCTGATCCTAAAGGCAGTGAGATTATAAGAGAGAGAAAAGTAGAAGAACTGGGCATGAGGTGATAAGAGAACTGAGAGAGAGGTATAGAGCTAAAAAAATTTTAGAGGAAAAAAAATTTTGTGACTGATTGCAGTCAAAAGATTAAGAAAGAAGAGTGATAAAGACTTCACCAAGGGGGGTGGTATAGCTCCTGACTAGTAAGCAGGAGGCTCTGAGTTTAAATCCCAGTACCATCATAAATTTCACCAAGACCTTGAGTTTATGAGACTAGAAGAATGATGGTGCCTTTTATGGAAACAGAAAAACTATGGGAGGTACTAGTTTTGGATAGAGATGACAGTAAATTTGAGTAACAGCCAGGGGAGAAGGGATAGGAAGATCTGGATTTGAAGGTTATTTGCCACTAGAGTGTGATAATAAAAACATGAGACAGGATTAGCTCACCATAGCAGAATGAGTCAAATAGAATCAGACAAAAAAATGAACCCTCAAAATTCAAGTTTGGCTAGGCACTGGTAACTCATGCTTGTAATCCTAGCTACTCAGGAGGCAGAGATTAGGAGGATCATGGCTTGAAGCCAGCCCAGGCAAATAGTTCATGAAACCCTATCTTGAAAAACACCATCACACAAAAAGGGCTGGTGGAATGGCTCAAGGTGTAGCCCTGAGTTCAAACCCCAGTACCGTCAAAATAGATAAATAAATAAATAAAAATTCAAGTTTGGCAACTATTTATCAAAGATCCACTATTATGAAATGTTTTACTGCAGTCTTTGGGAGAGAAAATGAAGACCTTGACTTCAGTGAGTTTACATCTAATAAGGAAAGACTGACAGATTAGCATTTTTAGAATACAAGCTTATGAAAAGTATCAACACAACAGAAAAACAAAAACAGGAGTGGAGGCACAGCTTGCCTAGCAAGTGTGAGGCCCTGAGTTTAGTCCACAGTACTGCCAAATAATAGTAATAATAATAATAATAATAATAATGAAGAAGAAGAAAGAAAGAGAAAGGAGGAGGAGGAGAAGGGGAGGGGAAGAAGGAGGAGGAGGCGGAGGAGGAGGAGGAGGAGGAGGGGAGGAGGAGGAGGGGAGGAGAGAGGAGGGGAGGAGGAGGAGGAGGAGGGGGGAGGGGGGAAGGAGGAGGAGGAGGAGGAGGGGAGGAGGACGAGGAGGAGGACGAGGAAGAAATGGATAAAAAAAGCATTTCTGGAGGAAGAGGAGGAGGAGGAGGGGAGGAGGAGGAGGCGGGGAGGAGGAGGAGGGGAGGAGGAGGGGGGAGGAGGGGGAAGAGGGAGGAGGAGGAGGAAGAAATGGGTAAAAAAAGCATTTCTGGGAACAAAATGATTCTTTTTAGTGAACATTAGAATAATCTTTAGGAAGATGACTGAATGATTTTAAGTAAAGATGACTAAGATTTTGATAGCATGAACAGAAGAATGACTTTCCAGGCTCCCAGAACCCTACAGGTAAAAACAGGGTCATATAAAAACCCAGAGATGGCACATGAAGAGCTATAAATATTTTGATGTGAATAGCACACAGAATTCTTAGTTCAGAAATAAGACTGGAAAACTGTTAGAAATAAAATGCCACATTAAATAAAAAGGAATCTATTCTACAGGAAAATGAGGTAATCAGGTCTGTCTTTAGGAAGAAAGCTTGGTAGCAATATGAACAATGGATTAGAAAAGATGAATGAACCACAAAGTAGAGTCAAAGAGACCAGCTGGAAGTGATCTATAATAGCCTAGAGAAAACTATGACCTATCTTGTGGTGATAGTAAGAGAGGACCATAAAAGCACTGCAAGGTAAAAGTTCAAGATTTGGTACCTTTTTAAATAACATCCTCTCCAACTTCATTCATTCAGTCAATATTGATGGAGCACATACATACTATGTCAGGCAATGTTTCAATGCTGAAATATAGCAGGAGAAAAAAAACAAGAAAAATTCTTGCCCTTGTGAAATTTACATTCTAGGGGGAAAAGAAAGATGATAAATAATTATATACTGTAACACATATTGATAAGTACTGTGGAAAAAAAAGGATATTGCCATCTGTGGTATAACAGCTGACCAGTTTCTCTAAGAGACCCTTGTCCTTACAGAACAACTGTATGATGCTTAAGAAACATTTCTCAAAGCATCTTGGAAGGGGTCAGGGATATGTATAAAACCTCACCCCTGGTTCCGATAATGTGTTCTTCTTGCTAGAGAGTGAAGGAAAGGCAGAGTGCACTGAGAACAGATGCTTACCATGCAATTTAGCGGGAACACTGAACCTTGGGCTGCCAGTAAGGTGAGGAAGATAAGCCTGCTACTACTATCACCAAGATCCTCAAGGGGGCGGATCCTAGATGCTAACAGTTGAAGCACAGGCAAACTCTTTCTGGAAGAAAAATTTCCCATTGCTGGCCAGAGGAATAAAACAATGAATTTTCCAGCTAAAAGACATTTCCATATTGGATCAAAACCAAACTCCATTTATATGCCACTAATAAGAGACCATCTAAATGTGAGGCTCATAAAAGCTAAAAGGAAAGGAAGTTAAAAAATGCACTAGGCAAACTGCTGAAGGAAAGCTGAGTCAACCACAGAAATGGCACATAAAGTAGCTTTGAACACAAAAACATCATTAGGACCACAGATGGCCATTATATAATAATATAAGGTTTGGGGCTAGGCACACCTATAACCCCAGCCACTCAGGTGGGCAAAAAGTTAGCAAGTCCCGTATATCTCAATAAATAAGCTGGCATGGTGGCACATGACTATGGTACCAGCTACAAGGGAGGCAGTAAGAGAATGACAGGACACTCTCTTTTGGGACCCCTCCCAGCTCTGGGAGCTCTATTTTTTGCCACTTTTCTATCTCAGTAAACTCTCCCACTTCTTAAAAAAGAAGGATACAGAGAGAGAATCACAGTCTGAGGCTGGCTTGGGCAAAAATTCGTGACCTAAACTAAAGCAAAAAAGGACTGAAGGTATGGCTCAAGTGGTAAGAGTATAGACTACCTGCCTAGCAAGTGTGAGGCCCGGAGTTCAAACCCAGTACCACCAGGGATTTGAGTGGAATATACAAGATTCAATTTACCAGGAATTGGCAATAATTCTAAACTTATTATGTGTATTTAATACATATGTGCAATATAACTCCAAGGAGGAAAAATACCAATGATATCACACTTTTCTCAATTATTGATATGACTAACAGACAAAAAAAAATCAGTAAAAATGTAAGCTATTCAAAGAATAGAACAAGCATGAACTAGGGGGCATGTATACAACTTTTTTACTCAGTAATTAAAGAATACACATTTTCTCAGGCATACATGAAACATTTACAAATGTTGACCATGTATCAATAGGGTTCAAAAAATTTCCAGAAAACTGTTACCAAATGGACTGTATTTTTTTTTTACTACAATACAGTTTAAGTTAAAAGTCAGCTGCAAAAGTATAAATATAAAGCTTCACAGATTTGGAATTTTTAAAAATATTTCTAAAGCACTTGTGAAGAGGAGAAACCATAAAGAAATTAAAAATACTTAGTACTTTAAAATATTTAAAGTAGTACCTAATAAAACCTGTGAAATACAGCTAATATAGCACTTAGAGTAGAAATTTATAGTCTTACATATTTGTGTTAGGAAAAAAGAAAGGCTGGAAATAATGAATTATGTGCCCAAGTTAAAAAGTTTAAGAAAAAACAGAAGCAGTTCAACAAAATAAACCTCCTCCCCCAAAAAAGTAGAAGGAAAAAGATAAAACTAAAAGAGGAGATTTGGGAAGTCGCTGGGACACCTGGAGCAAGAACAGAGGAGGTATAGGTAAACTGGGTTTCAACAAACAAAAAAGGAACATAATTAT